TAACATGGAATAATCTGTTAATGCCATTTCTGTCGTAAGGTGTTGCAAGACTTGTTTCGACCTTGACGTGTTAAACTGATCAAAACACGGTCATCTCAGGCAGTTGTTTTTTAGCGTCTATCAGTAGACTGTCCTGAAACAACGTTTCCTGTAGTCCGATGACGTTTCAGGATTCCGGATACAGTATACTTGGGGTACCCTACTGTTCTGGTAATGTCCGTTTGCTTCATACCATTTCTGGACAGTCGAAAAATTTGACGCCCTATAACTTCTAACATGTGACGAGGCATGACTCTAACCAAGTACAGAGAAATTGTCTGAACAAAGTGTTGATCTGTTTCGAAAAAACAATTATGCCAAAAGCACACCCTTTTATACAAAACGGGTATATATATGTGTGTTCTGACAAACAAATGCTCAAAACAACTTATACAGTTTGTTTGTTTGTTTGTAATTAAGCACAAAGCTACACATTGGGCTATCTGTGCTCTGCCCACCACGGGTATCGAAACCCGGATTCTAGGGTTGTAAGTCCGCAGACATACCGCTGTGCTACTGGGGGGCGAACTTATACAGACCAGAATAACGACTCGTACATATTTATTCGATCATACACTAGTTCCTTTGTTACTACTCAGGCATTTACTCAATAACTACCACATGTATGTAGATAATAATATCAGTATAAAACAATATACAAACATTTTGGCCAAGACTGAATATGTTTTGAGGCTTGTAGTTTTTATCTATTAAAGTTTCGAATGTCAAGTCAAGAAATTGAAATACTTTCTCTTTTCTTTTTACAGATATGTTAGTAACTGATTACGTTTATACTTTATAAGCTAAATTTATCAGTGTATGTAAATAGAAGATATTGTGAACTTTAAATCAAGATTCTCCTTGATTCACAAGGCTTTTCATTAGATGAAGGAAGATTCAGAATCCTTCAGCCTCCTGAGTTAGGGGCTTCCCGTTAGATGTGGCAGGTTCGAGCCTCCCTCCGCTTTCCTGAATCACAATACTGTCCCGTTAGATGTTGCAGATTCGAGGCTCTCTCCGCTTTCCTGGATCACAATATTGTCCCGTTAGTGTGGCAGGCTCGAGGCTCCTTTAGTCTCATGAATGACAATATTATCTCCCGTTAGGTGAGACAGGTTCGAGACTCATCCAAATTTTATGGATCACAAAACTGCTCTGTTAGATGGGGCAGGCCCGAGGGTTACCCGTTCCTTTGGGTTAAAATACTGTTCCGTTACTTGAGTTATAGTCAAGACACCCTCGTTCCCCTGTATCAGAATGCTGTGGTTTAGATTAACATGCCTTTGACTGTCTAGGTCAAGTGTGGCATAGCGATTAACGTTCAATATTGTGGATTTAAGGATATATGGCTCTCGTCCAGTTGCACCACCAACAAAAACAGACAAAAAAATCGCTATTCGTATTTTTAGGGTGCGTTAGATTAGAGTAACCCAAGAATAGAAGAACGATTCTGTTGACTAGCTGCCATCTTTCTAGTATATTAGTTTAAAATGAGGGATTGGTAACACGGAAAGCCCTTAAGCTGTGTAGATCTGCTTGAATATCAGAAAACCTTTGTCGGAAATGACGTTATCTTATTCACTCTGCCTTTACAATCACTTCACGCAGTTATATATTACTGTGCAGCTCCAAACAAACAAACTTTGCTTTGGAATTTATCTTTCCATCTTATTTGTTGCAGGTTGGCGCATATAAAATTCTCAGAAATTTCCTTTTTTTTCTTCTTCAGAGTTGTACTTGGTTGTTGTTAAGCATAAAATTACACAATGGGCTATTTGTGCACTGCCAACCACGGGTTTCGAATCCCAATTTTAGCATTATAAGCCCACAGAAAAATAGGTTCTTAAATAAAATATTGGGCTTACATAGTGATTTTATGTATTTTTTGTTTGAAAACTCTTGTTAGAAATAGGAGTGATAAGCGTTTAATCACATTAGCGATGACTTAGCTGATGTCAAGATCAGTAAAAGCAAACGAATAAATGCTTGCATATGATTATAATACAAAAAGAAATTCAGCCTTTCGTACTTAAAAAAATAATCTCTGTAGGCCTATTCAGTTGTTTTTGATATGCAGTTAAAATTTGTTTACTTGTAAATAATTTTTATCATTCAAAAACGGTATCCCTATCTATAAGTAATACTTCCGCCGGAATTTTCGCCTGTTTACACGCTTTCGGTTCGATACCTTTCGTAAAATACAATGGCAAATTACAATAATAATTTCACTTTTGCACCCAAAAAATCTTCTATACGTAGCTAGTCTATAGGACAAATGCGAGGATTCATTTCCAATTTTGACAATAGTTATTTGTATGATGAAAAGAATAAATTACAAAAAAGATAAAAATAGAAGTGCTTACACATGTATGTTCCATAGATGACCAACTTCACTCTTACACAGAGTTCCTGGTTCCTGAGTCGCCAATCATACTTGATTATTACCTATCAACCGGAAGTTTTTGATATTTGTCTTCCTGTTCGTGTTCTGAAATTGCTTTCGATGGAACATTGAATTATAACTTAGTTATATTTATTTTTCTTGTGCTGCCAAATACTGGTACATTATAGCAAGCATTGAACTCGCTTGTTCGTATCCCAATATAACACGGAAGAGGTTGAAAAAATCATTACGCATTTATTTCTGCCAATCATATATGTTCGCTAAAATCTTTTCTGTTAAAAGTTTAACACCTTGATTTTTTTCACACTGTTACTGATTAGTTAATTACTAAAATAAGCTTATTGCTGGCATGTAATATGTTCTAAAATACAATCATCGATTATATTCTGATATATTTTAAAATAAAGTTATCGATGTCACGTAATATGTTTTAAAATAAAGTTATCGATGTCACGTAATATGTTTTAAAATAAAGTTATCGATGTCACGTAATATGTTTTAAAATAAAGTTATCGATTATATTCTGATATATTTTAAAATAAAGTTATCGATATCACGTAATGTTTTAAAATAACGTTATCGATGCCACGTAATATGTTTTAAAATAAAGTTATCGATGTCACGTAATATTTTTTAAATAAAGTTATCGATATCACGTAATATGTTTTAAAATAAAGTTATCGATGTCACGTAATATGTTTTAAAATAAAGTTATCGATGTCACGTAATATGTTTTAAAATAAAGTTATAGATGTCACGTAATATGTTTTAAAATAAATTTATTGACAGTAAATGATATGCTCTAAAACATAATTACTGTTGACGTCTCATTTACTTTAAAATATTTTTAGACTGACTAACTTCTAGTTTAGATTAAAATTTTCACGTTTTCTAAATAATCACAGAATTCTTTTTAGCTATAAACTCCGCCTTAACCCTTATATATAAGTTAACATTTGCAGGCTTAGAATGCAAGAATGTCACTCACTGTTACAGTATGAAAATATTTGTAGTTGAATAAACTCCTAGAATATTATAATTACAAATGCACGCTATGAGCCGAAATACTATTAATCTTCAAGAAACGTGTGACAGCAATCCTTTGTGTATATATATATGTAAATGTTACGATTTAGGAACTTGTTTTTGCTGCATTTTTGCGTATCAGAACAACTGTGAAGAGAACACTAAAGAAGACAGTTGGTGGTGAAGAACAACTGTGAAGAGAACATTAAACAAGACAGTTGGTGGTGAAAAACAACTGTGAAGAGAACACTAAAGAAGACAGTAAGTTGTGAAGAACAACTGTGAAGAGAACATTAAACAAGACAATAGGTGGTGAAGAACAACTGTGAAGAGAACACTAAACAAGACAATAGGTGGTGAAAAACAACTGTGAAGAGAACACTAAAGAAGACAGTAGGTGGTGAAGAACAACTGTGAAGAGAACACTAAACAAGACAATAGGTGGTGAAAAACAACTGTGAAGATAAAACAGTATAGAAGATAACACGTAATGAAAAACAACTCTAAAGAGGAAACTAAGATTAAGATGCGATGAAAAACAGTCCTAGAGAGAACAGTGAAGAGGGTAACACATGATGAAAACAAGGAAATACATCACAAATGTAAAAACCTAGTGTTCGTGGAACATTTGAGGATAAAGTATGATGAATATAATTGGAAGAGAGCAGTGATAAAAAAAGGTAGACATAATTGAAAGACTAAGGAAAGAAACATCTTATAAATGTAAGATTAATTTTCTCAGCAGTAAGAGTGAAAGCGTACAACTTAGGTTTCATTGCCTGCGGTAGGCTGAGCACAGATAATCTATTGCATAGCTTTGGGCTTGACAACAACAATAAAAAAAAATATGGTTTTTGTTTTCACCACCAGGATTACATTACATTGTGTAAGTAACAGTAACTTCGTTTTTTTTACTATCAAGATGGGATAATAATGTATGAGAGACGTTAACAGCATTATTTCTCTAACTAGTACAATAAGTTAATATATGACAGATGGAGCAGTAGTTTTATTTTGTTTTACCACACAACATAACTTTCATATGGCCTTAATTTTCTTGTTAACTTTACCGCGACAGAAAAACACCAATATGTGACACATGTAGCAGCAAGTTTCTTTTCTACCTGAAGGAGGAGGTAACATGAAATGGACGTAACAGTATTAATTTCTCTCATTAAAACAGAAGGATACACGTGATTGGTTAAACGGTGACATCCTCCCACCCTCTAGAAATGGAAGTTCACGTGTAGCTGATGTAATAGTAGTTATTTTTATCTCGTCAGTTCAGTGAGATAATACATGACTGGTGTTATGACAGAATGTTAATTATATTTTTTCCATTAAAGTTGGAAGATAATAAGTGAAGATGTAACAGAAGTACTTTCTCGTTCTCATTAAGACGAGGAGATAACAACCGACTGATGTAACAACTAATTGATGTAACAACTGATTCTTTCATTTCAAGTAGGGCGGGAAAACAAGTAATTGGATAAAGAATAACATTTTCTCTCCTCCTCTTCAGGACAGAAGAATGGAGTGGTTTGACCTCATCCTAATGTTTCTTACCCTTCCTCTTTCATCATCAGCACAAGGTAAATAATTATTTCGTTTTGTACAACTTTTATTTCATTTGGCTTAGCGTTTCTTTTTTAGATAGTTTCGTCCCCCACTGGGACAGTGCTAGGTCTTTGGATTTATGCTGCTAAAATCAGGGGTTCGATTCCTCTCGGTAGCACAGCAGATAGCCTGATGTGGCTTTGCTATAAGAAAAAACACACACATACACACACTAGATAGTTTAATCGATATACTAGCTCACATTGAAAATAAGTGAATAACATACATTCTTATTGACGAAATTTTAACAAGCTGGTCATTTTTCACGCATACGTAATTATTTATTTTTGTGCTTAACCTTGTGATTTTTTGAATGTGAGTTACATTAAACAATTTTGTCAGAGATCCTGCTCGATCGTAAAACGTGAAGAACATTTTCATACTTTTGACTGAAAGTTTGATTCGGTTATTTTATAATAACCTTTAAGGTTTCTTCTTGAAAGTTTGATTCGGTTATCTACAATGAACTTTAAGGTTTCTTCTCCTCTGACAGTCTTTTACTTGCGTACGAATGAAAAAAAAATCTTTTTTTTAAGGTATTCCTTTTTGTAACCTAAATATAAGGGATCTTTAAAGCATCAGTTCATTAAACGGACATGTGATTTCCATTAAAAACATGAGAAGACGACTTACAGCCAAATATTTTCATTTTCGCAGGACAAAATTGTTTTGGAGGCATCGAGGCGTATGAAAAGAGCACAAATATCGCATTTAGCAGCTCCGTTCAGTTCAACACAATACTGGAACGCCAAGATCAGTCTATCACTAAAGACTGTATAAACTTATGTAAACAAGAAGCTCAATGTTTGTCATTTGCTCTGGACTATCATGGATTTCGGTGTTTCTCATACAGTGTAAGTTCTGTCGGGCGGAGGGATCTGCTTGTGGACCAACCAAGAACTAATTTCTTTGAAAAGATATGTATCCGCGGAGGTAAAGTACGACGTATATTACGTGTTGGTATTAATATTCAAAAATTAATTGTTATTAATTAATTTTTATAATTAATTAATTATACTATTAATAATTCAAAATGTTACAAAGTTAATAGATTATATGTCATTTTATATATATTAAAATATTGTGTAATGTAAAATATTTTTTGCATATATAATTTACAATAAAAGATCTTTGGTTCACTCAAGTACAACTATGCTCTTCTTGTAGTGGACAAGTCAACCTATGACAGACTTTGTGGAGGTCAGCTCTGGAGTTTCGAGAGGGTCAAAGGAGCTTATCTTGACGGTTTTGTCGATCGTAACATTCCAAACATTCAGAATAAAGAGGAATGTGAGAAGCTTTGTCTGATAGAAAGTTCCTTCACTTGTCGCTCAGCTGACTATGATGAAATCCAACGCTTGTGTCGAATGAGCAAGGAAGACCGACGAACTCAGCCGCAAGCATTCCGACAAGTTCCCGGAAGCAACCGAGACTATTTTGAGAACCTCTGCACCAGTTCAAGTAAGAATTTTTAAAAGTTTATTCTCAAAAATGCCGCAAAACTTGAGCAATTGAATATTTATGTTATCTTACACATCCTCATTTTTTAAAAACATATGCATGTTAACTAATTAATAGTTTTTCTAAGTTCTGCCCATGTTTCAAAACATAGTACTATAGCAAGGAATGAAATCTAGACAAAAAAGTTTTACAAATTCATCATTCTGCTACACGTGGATAAGTATTATACCATTCAACACCCTTTAGAGTGTGACTTTCTCGGCAGAATATTTTTTTACCGTAAAGAGAAAGGTATATATTAGCACTTTATAATGATTTATATTACATTTGCCACTTAATGATAATTTTAGCATGTATTTTTTACTACATTATTCATTGATTCATAAATTATACATGAATTTCTCTCATTTTTGCTCTTTGTGAGATTTTGTTTCGACTTTGGATAAATATGTCACAATCATATCCTTTTAAATGAATCTTATACGTCTATATACATGATGTTTAATAAGGTTAATAAAATAATTCGCTATGATCTTATACTACACTGTGTTACAATTACAAAAAATACAAGAAATCACTTAGCGCTACTAGACTAGACAAGACTGACTGGACTTTAGGAGACCGAACCATGACTGAACTATATCGTCACTTAGGTGCTATTAGACTAGAGAAGACTGATTAGACTTTAGGAGATAGAACTAGGCCTGAACTATACTGTCACTTAGTGCTATTAGACTAGACAAGACTGACTGGACTTTAGGAGCAGGCCTAGTCCTATAGTATACTATCGCTTAGCGCTATTAGACTAGACAAGAATGACTGGACTTTAAGAGATAGTAGCTTTTTTATAAGGCTACCAATTAACATATATTAAGCTAATAATATCAAGCTCTTTTCAAGCCCAACTATACATTACCAACACATAAGAAAGACATTTTCCCTTCACGTCATTTTTGTTGCACTAACAAAATTTCGGTTGTATTTTTAGGAACTGTCTTCAAGTACTTTACTGCTCAGATGTGTAATTAAAAAGAATCGCTTTTATATCATAATATATATATACACACACACATATATATATAACGTTATGAGACTACATTAATATCAAAACAATAATGTTTAATTCCCTCATTATTATTATTATGCGTGCACGTATTAATCTCTTACGATGGAATTATAAAACTTCACTGTCTTATACTGAAGAATTGCTGTTAAGCCCAATGAAGGGCATTTGCCCCAAAGTTGTTTTGAAACAAAATATTTTATCTTCTTTGAAACATGTTCAAATAATTTTACCTTAGATTGAAAGCATTGTGTGATATCACTGCTATAAACATAAAAAAATATTTTGTGCAAATTATTTAAGGCAAAGATAATGAAATATTACATTTTACCAACATACTATATATATGTATATCTATATTTTCGTATATGACGATTAATGTTTTTGTTTGTAAAATATCTGAACCACATTTTACTGGGTGTTTTAATTTTAGCCATAATTATATGAATTTTAAAGAGCTTTTTAAAGGTAAATTATTTTCACAAAAAATTAAAAAATCTGTCACAAACTAAGAGGTAAGAAAAGTTTTTAAACCAAAGTTTTTTTTATAGTTAACGAGATTTGTTACCTTTAAAGTATGTGAAAATGTTGCAAAATTAACCAATAAAACTATTGAATCATCTTTTCCTTGAATTAAAAATGTGATTTTATTCACAAATATCTGTAAGTTTTGTTTTTGTGAAATATAAATTGTAAGATTATTAATACCTGGATATCAAAAATTGTCCCTTATAAGTTTCGTTATCCTTCTATTTAAGTCATTTATCAAAACAATAACAATGATGTTATAAATTCAAGGGCATTTTAATGTAGTTTGAAGTTGTACAGAAAGCCTACAAGCAGCTGTCTCACATCAGATGTTTACTTAATGTAACTTCGAGAGACCTTAAATGTATTTATAATAGCGTGTGTAATGCAGTTGTTATAAATAAACATTTTAAATCTTTTAAAAATTATATATATATACAAATATTACCACAGACGTATAGACCTTCTTAAATTTTAAGGGTTAAAAATATCTAATGCCAGCATGGGCAAGGATTCAGTAATATTAATTCACAAACCAACAAGAGGAGACCTGCTAAAATTCGGCATTCCTGACGCGGTAGCTGAGCTGGCAAAAGTACCTGCCACATAATCAAAGTCGTAAGTTCGAATCTTCCTCAGTCGCAACTTTTTACTCTTCAGGAAAAACAATAAGAAACAGTTAGAGCTTGAATTAGTTTACAAAAGGAAAGGTCGGGAGTTTTGAAGTAAATGCAATGTTGATCCAGTGCCTTTAATATATTAGTATGAATACTCGAAAACACCCTGTAACCCGAGTTGGTTAGTTATAACTTTTTTTCATTTGGTTGTGCCTTGAGTATT